CGCATTTGGATAACCACTTGTCCCTCATTCTTGTGGCCGTCGGGCACTTCTATACGAATGTGCCTGGTGCCACTGCGAGAGCTGCATTTCGGAAACATGCGGCCTTCCATTTTCCCGTAAACGAAATTATACTTATATATTACATTAAGAGAGAAAAACGAATGGTCGCGGTGTCACGGCTGAGGCGTTAGCCGCATTTAGGAAATCATTGGCCCTTTACCTGTGCGCGACCGTTTAAGGTTTCGAGCCTGCAGGATATGGTCTTGCAAGGAAGTCTCGAGCGAAACGCATGGCCCAGGATACGATTACGCCTGGTGGTGCGACAGGTGGGAGGTCATTAGTATGGAAAAGGCATGGAAGTGGAGGAGGAGGAGAGGGACGCCGGCGAGAGAAGGAGGGAGGGTTCTGGGAATGGGGAATAGGAGACACGGAAGAGTGATGTATTGGAGATGAGTTGAGAGGAGAGGAGAGGAGAGGAGATGAGAGAGAGAGAGAGAGAGAGACAAACAAAAACGAGTGAGTGAGATATATATATATATATATAGAGAGAGAGAGAGAGAGAGAGAGAGAGAGAGAGAGAGAGAGAGAAAGAGAGAGAGAGAGAGAGAGAAAGAGAGAGAGAGAGAGAGAATTAGAGAGAGAGACAGAGAGAGAGGAAGAGAGACAGAAAGGGAGAGAGAGAGAGAGAGACGAGGGAGCAGATGATGGGGGTTATACGGAAGCTGATGCGGCTGATGCTGATGCTGATGCTGATGCTGATGATGATGCTAATGATGTTAATAGTGATGATAAAGCTGATGATGATGAAGATGCTGATGAAACTGATGATGGTGATGGTGATGATGATGACGATGACGATGACGATGATGATGATGATGATGCTGATGATGCTGATGCTGATGCTGATGATGCTGAAGATGATGACGATGACGATGATGATGATGCTGATGCTGATGATGATGCTGATGATGGTGACGATGGTGATGATGCTGATGAACATTATGACTATGACACTGCTGATGAGGATGATGACGCTGATGCTGCTGCCGATGATGATGATGCTGATGATGATGACGCTGCTGCTGATGATGATGATGCTGATGCTGATGCTGATGCTGCTGCTGATGACTATGCTGATGCTGATGCT